ACAATCATGCAACCAACCACGTGAGCAGCGCCTGTGTTCCCACAAAACTCGCTCCTCCACCGTGAATAAATCGCCATCCGAATGCATGAGTTTTATCACATAGGGCTATAGAAGGAAAAATTGATGGGGCTAAATACCGTCAAATTCTTGAGGAAAATTCCAGAAAGAATTCCTCTTCCAGAAAGTTGTCGATGGGAAAAAGGTTTACCTTCAAACATGACAATGACCCAAGCACACAGCAAAACTGACCACATAGTGGTTTAAAGGAGGAAAAAGTGAATGACAATGCAGACTTAAACCCCATTGAAAATCTGTGGAATGATTTGAAGACTGCAGTCCACAAGCAATAAAAGTTAGTAGAGACATATCCCAACAGACTAAACGGTGTAATTAAAGCAAAAGGTGGTTCAACAAAATACTGACACAAGGGGGTGATCCTTTCCCAACTCATTCTTTTTTATTTCACTTGGATGTTATAATATGTGTGATGTTATGTTTGATTTATATCTGCCAAGCCAAAATAATTAATTAATATTTTGAAGTTGATCCTACTTCTCTAAAAAGTTTGCACTCTTGAAGCATCTAAGCACAGACAGTTAGTTGTCTTGGCAAAGTTTATGCAGAGGCCAAATCCTCACCACTTTAGTCATATTATTTTAATTGACATTTTCTAGGGTTATTTGCCCTTGAATGGCAGCTTGAATCATGTAGATCACAGTATGTACTGCACTTTGAGATGAAGACACCACAGGAATATTGGCACTGAAAATAATTGGCACTTGTGTATTCCTAGAATTTGTTGACAGAAATGTGACCTTGCACCACAAAACCAGTCTTAAGTCGCTGGGGTTTATTTGTAGCAATAGCCAAAAATACATTGTATGGGTCAAAATTATAGATTTTACTTTTATGCCAAAAATCATTAGGATATTAAATAAAGATCATGTTCCATGAAGATATTTTGTAAATTTCCAATTGTAAATATATCAAAACTGAATTTTTGATTAGTAATATTCATTGCTAAAGGACATTTGGACAACTTTAAAGGAGATTTTCTCAATATTTAGATTTTTTTTCACCCTCAGATTCCAGATTTTCAAATAGTTGTATCTCAGCCAAATATTGTCCTTTCCTAACAAACCATACATCAATGGAAAGCTTATTTATTCAGCTTTCATATTTTTTAAAATTCACACTTAAGACTGGTTTTGTGGTCCAGGGTCACATATAGACTTTACAGATTCTAGTCATTTCACCAATGACTAGGGATGTAACGATTCACTCAACTCACGATGTGATACGATTCACAATACGATTTTCTCACAATTTTTTTTTTTTTTTTAACAAAATGAGATTTAGGACAAATTATAAATGAAAAGGCGTCCTTTAATTATTGCTTGGACAAAATGCTGCACATTTCTTTGTGAAATTGAAATATGTCAAATAACAAAACTAAATTGAAATTTTAAAACAAACCCAAAATCAAATAACGAAATACTGTAACACAAATAAAATAAATCTCTTCATATAAACAAGCTTTGCCTGTGCTCTTTCCATTTAAAATTAGAGGCAAACACTATTTTAATCACAATCCAAACAAACATGAGCAGTTTTCAATCAAAATTAGATTGCATAATTTCGAAATTTGAAGCAAAAACAGAATGGTCTGACTTTAGTTTCGTGAAACTATACTACAAAAAAAAAAAACATCTGCACAAAACAAAAACAGCAGATGGGCTGAATGAGAACGCAAATTCACTCTGACAGCAGGTGGCGCTTATGGAACAGCAGCGACACAGCGTTTCCTTGCTTACCGCTGTAAAGTTACTGCTTATGAACTTCAATATGCATTATACAGAGGCAAGATGAAAAGAAAGTCAGTCAGTTCCGCTCAGAGATACATTCATATAAACTCCTACCCCCAACTGCATCGTGATTTGTTTAACATCTCAAATGAGTTAAATCTTCAGATATTTGTATCGGTTTTCAACCAGCTCGGGGTGCATCGTTAAATTTTCAAGCACTCTTGCTGGGGTTTTCAAGTCATATCTGAGCAGGTCTGTTTCTTTGCATGTATACGACTGTGTCATGAGTGCTTGTCCAGACAACAATGTCCCTGAGGCCACATAGATCTGTTGCTATGACTTTCACTCCAAGGTCAAGAAGATCATTGCTTTCAATTTCTTCTTCACGCTTCTGACACTACTACTTCAGCTATATACAAGAATGGCACATAATGTAATTAATTAGAATAAAAAATGTAATTGCTTGACAACCCTAATATATTTCTAATCTATATCTTGACTGTATCATCTGTGTGTGGTGTTTTTTTCAGTACTTAACATACTTGAATGTAATTTGATGTTGTAATTCTCTTGGAATAATAATAATAGAATAATATTAATATAAAATCATCATCAAATACTGTAGTTGCCATTTTTCATTTGAATGGTGTCAATTTTTTAAATATAACAGGCATTCCTCTTCAGGAACTCGAGCTGCGTCGGAAAACGCTAGGGGAACGCCCTTCAGCGTGACCGGCTCTGAACCTCGTGTGTAATCAGACCAATAGATGGGCGAGACGTTGTTAAAAAATAAATCCGTTTTGATTAAACATCATCCAGAAATAAAGGGATGTGTGAAAATGACATTTTAAAATGAAAGCAGTCGCTTCTGCCTATTTTTTTGTCTACAAGGAAAAATAAAAGTGTTCTATAACTGGTCTCCCCCATGGTATTGTCAACAAATTGCTTAGCTGGAAAAAATAAGGATAAATGTCATTAGGCTTAAATATACTGTATATACAGTCAGTGGCACATGCAGCTATGCCATTTCAGACATAGCATGCAAACAAGCTATTCTGAATTGTGGGTAATGAGGTGTTTATATTGAATATGTGTTTTCTATATCAATAAAGTTCTTTTCATCTATCAATTTCTTACTTTCACATTTTAAATATTTCATGAGGTTAACTTATACCCTCCTTGTGGTCAGTCTGCACAAGATCAACAAGCTTGTTTGTTTTGCGGCCCCTTTAAATACAAGACAAGCATTCGATCTACGTCAGAGTGTCAAGAGCATCCACGAATCTTTTGGATATAATATTGAAATTTCTTACAAACTGTCTTCTTTCTTCGCCAACGAACATCCAAATAAAGTCAAAGCGTTCCGTCTTCGAGCAAGACACAGTAGTCTGGTTGCAAATTGAATCAATGGTTTTGAACAAATCAGTTCAGTGAATGAGTCAATGACTCAGTTCGTTTCCAAATTAATCGGTGTTATGAACAATGATTGAATGACTCATTCTTAAAGACTTCACTTGTCCCCACCTACTGGCATAACGATGTAACTTGCATGAAGAATCGTTGAAAATACCTACTGCTATGCACAGACTGCCTGGAAAGTGTCAACAAAGGACATTTTTGGAATGGAATGGCCTGAGACGTTTTTGACTTACAAACTAGTGAGTAGGCAATTACACATGACTGGCTAAAAATATCAGTTTTAGCTTATTAATTTCACTATCAATAAAAAAATCCCAGTTATCAGCAAATAATATATCTGCCACCAATATAAACCTTAACTATAATCCTCTACTCTATAGCAGTGCCATTCGAGGAACCCCCTGTGAAAATATGATGATAGATGAGCACAAGCATTTCACCCGTGGTACACGCCAGCATCTAAAGAACGACATTTCTCCTCTTTGGTGGGGATACAAATTTAATGCAGCTTCTTTCTGAATGCTTATTGTGTTGTGTCACCAAGCGACCAGCCGCCACAGCTCGGCCCACTGCCCTTGTGTGGACCAGCCCTAGGAGATGTTTAAATATGTATAGGGCTCATCTGCTGTGACTGCCCGAGTCACAGACAGACAGATGAGAGCCTGCTAACGGAGGACAAGTGTGGAAACACACTGTGCCTCCAGCTCTCAGTTCAGAGAGAGACAGCCGTCACACACGCTGATGAAACGTTCATCTCAGCTAATTGCATAGACGGTCCTGCAGGACTGAATTGGTGTTCAAATAAAGGGCAGCCTTCAGATATGCCTATCATGGGATCTTTAGCCCTTGAGAAGCCATTCCAGTTGTATTTTACATGAAAGTGTTTTACTGAAATGCAGGATCATCAATATTTCAGATTGGATTTATATCGTTTTATGAGGCACTTTCCTGAGAGTTTAAGACTAGGCTACATTGTTTCAAAAATATCCTTCCAAAGATAGGTGTGAGAAACACCATGAATTCGTACATGCACACACTCGAATTGCATTTACGAGCAGGGATCGCAGGTGTGCTTTAATTGAAAGGACTGGGGTGCCACTCACCAAAGCAATTAAATGCTCTCGTAGGCTGGTTGATTGAAGCAGTCAAGCATATAGCTCTACCAAGAGTGCATCAAACTTCAAGACTGTATATACCTACACCCACAAAATAAACTATTGAGAGAGAGGAAGACAAAGAGCCACACAATAATGTCTTATTTTTTCTTGCAGTTATTATGAGGTGCAATGGGAATCAGTGTTGGGGAGTAACTAGTTACATGTAACGGAATTACGTAATTTAATTACAAAATAAAAGTAATTGTA